CGCCTTCTTTTAGGAGTACTTTGAACACGAGATATAAAGAAGCAGTTGTGCAATTCCTGTTCGCAGACATGCTGTCTTCGTCCAGCTTTCTCCGATAAAAGTTAAGCTTCGGGACAAAGGTCAGATGCCTGCGGCGCAAGCCATCAAGTCTTTCTCGGACGTAGTCTGTCTCGCAGTTTCTCGCGGAGCGCAGCGCTCGGTTTACGACGTATGTGAATCTATGGGACGAGCGAACGTATGAACGAACGAACGAACGAACGAACGAACAAACAAACGAACGAACGAAAGGACGGACGGACGGGGGAGAATCGTCGCACGCGTTCGATCCTCTCGAACGCGAAAGAGACGCACGGCCGCGTGTGCGTATCCCGACGCGTCGCGTACGTGCGTGAACTGTACACACGCGCAGTTTTTGTCCATTTCTACACGTCTATCTGTTCTCTCCTCGACGATAGAAGGTTATTTTTAAATTCTCGAAACTTAGCTGTGCCGCGCCCGCGTGCGAGTGTCTGTACGATCGGATGTCACGTAGGAATCCTGAAATATAAATAGACGATTGAAGAGGGCCACGGACTTTTCTTCCCTGCGACCGAGAAGGTCCCTTGTCTCTCACCCTCTTTCCTGTCCAAACGTGTTTTCTCTTTTCCTCTTTCTCCCCACTCCCCCCCTCTCCCTCTCTGTCTCTCTCTCTCTCTCTCTCTCTCTCTCCTCTCTCTCTCTCTCTCTCTCTCCCTCTCTCTCTCTCTCTCTCTCTCTCTCTCTCTCTCTCTCTCTCTCTCTCTCTCTCTCTCTCTCTCTCTCTCTCTCTCTCTCTCTCTCTCTCTCTCTCTCTTTCTTTCTCTCTCTGTCTCTCTTTCTCTCTCTGTCTCTCTCTCTCTCTCTCTCTCTCTCTCTCTCTCTCTCTCTCTCTCTCTCTCTCTCTCTCTCTCTCTCTCTCTCTCTCTCTCTCTCTCTTCTATCTTTCTCTCTCTTCTATCTCTTTTTCTACTGCGCGAATCTCTTCATCGTTAATAATACACGTAACGAAAAACGATGACGTGGCTGGAAATGACTAAACGCGCGCTATTTGCGCGCGCGAGAACGTTTTCTATCTGCAGACGCGAGACGGACGACGAACAAGTCGTCCCATTGATGTCGATTTGTTCCCCGCGAAACCCGCCGGATGCGATTCTCTCGTCGGGAAATTTCGTCCGCCAAGCTTGATGAGAAGTAAACTTGATGATAAAAATATGAAAGAAATGATGACATTATACATCATGAATAAGAGAGCAACACCGGCGATTGACTCGTGAAGTTCGTTAACACAGTTGCGTGACTTTTTTGAATCGCAGCTCCGCGTTACAACTAACCGGGCAGAGCAAGTTTCTTCCGGTGGACGAACAAAAGACCCGCCAGCGGCTCCCTTTCTTTGCCTCGCGACGCCGGCAACCCCGAAGATACGCCGATAAAAAGTGAGTTGCAGTCGGATCGATACGAACTTCCGAGACGGGGCAGAACGTAACTTCATTACGTGCCCTGGCTGCGCATTCATCAAAACGCATCGTTCGCAAAGTCAGGGAGGGTCGGACGCACGCAAAATCCGACGCATGCCGAGCGCAACGTATCGCTGCAGTTGGCAAATTGGAGCGGCGCTTCCGCTTAGGAAGCATTAAAGGGTATCGCGTAGATGCCGGCTAAGCGTGCACGTCTTGCTAATAGGAGCGCGCATCGTTCATTCATGATTCCAATGAGTCATGCAATTCCGTGTAAGAAACGCGATTGCACAACGTGCAACGCACGTTACGTGGCTGCTCAGTCACAGAAGTATATCGAGTTGCCTGTTGACAGGCGTACGAGGACGAGGGCCATTCTTTTTCGTCGATCGTACCAGGAGCGTAGCTACCGAATAGAAGAAACGGGCTAATCGAAACTTCCATCCATCGAAATTCTTCTTCCCTGAGAAAAAATAAAATTAGGTAAAAAGAAGACAGACGGAGAAAGAGGAAATCTTTCAACCGAGCCTTTGCTTTAATGTTGATGCATAACAATCTGATAAATGGAAGTTTCCGAGAGAATTATTTCTTTGCAAAACCGAGGCAAGAATCTGATTACATGTTATTTTTTACAAAATTACGGCTGGCTTACTCAATTTCTTTAGTGGAATGAGTAAGCCAGCCAAGCCGTGAGTTTGGACTTTAATGAACTAAAATCAGGTAGCGGAAGAATACATTTGCATCTTGGAGACATTCCACGAAAAAAATTGAAAACAATAAACTGTGTGAGTAAAACAATCAAAGGAGATGCACCGCGTTTCTTGTGCTGAAACGTGCACAAGCGGCAGTTGGAAACGGAAGTTCACAGGAAAAGAATGTCATTGTTAGTGGTCAAGTATAATTCACTTTGTCACAGCGGTGAATACAGGGCTGTAACGGATACCGTTAATGCCTCAAGCGTAGTTAATTTCTTTTCTTTACCTTTCACTGTTTATTTTAATAGCTGTATTGCAGCTTTCATCAATATTTTATCAGTATCGAATGGATTAAGTGACAATATATCGGGAATGTATTCTTTCCTCATTTATCTGGGAATTTTATCAATATAGATTATTGATAGATTTATTAATAAATTCCGAAAGAAAAATCACAAATTCAAGGGACCTTCTATCTGTGGGTAAACATTTCTAAGACATTTCTAAGAATCCGGAGTGGAATTTATTAAGGAAGCTATCCTTAATAGAGCGTCACATTAACGTTCATTGTCAAATTTTATATTTAGGGAACCTTCCGCATTGACTACCTCATAGTAATTCGATAATATGGATACAGAACGAAAATGGTTACCGTCCCGCATACGTGACGCTGAACGACACTCGAACGTGTCAACGATCGTTCGAGACAAACTGTGCCTCGCAGACTGTTTCCGTTTCGTTCGACAATCTGTAATGCTAAGTTCTCGGGTGTGACAAAAGAACTCGATGCAATCGGCTCGCCTGACAAGATACAACCTACGACTTGAGGCCTTCGTGACATAAATACAACCGAGGAACTTCAAAAAATTCTTGGCTAATGTCTCGTTCGGCGTGGCATCTCTCCGTCGTTCTCGACAATGGACGGATCGAACGGGGAATCTTCGGGGCCTCTTTAGACGTTTCCTCGCAGGTAGAATTCTGACCCCGGACGCTATAGCGAATTGCAAATGACCCATACCGTTGCAGTCGGCGCGCCGTCTCTGAGGCACGAATACCCGGCGAAACGATAGTGCGATATTAATTTACACCGATAATTGTCGGCGATATGGCGAGATGCATGTGGAATGTTGCACGCGCGAAACGTTGCGACTGGACGTTTGGAGTCACCGGGACATCGTATTCTGGACGTATAGCGAACGCCAACAACGAACAACGTTATACCGCAAGCAACGTGCACGGTGTTCAAAACCCAAGTGTCTTAGAAACAACTCAAAGACGTTTGGGATACTCTTCAGACGACTCTTAAACGTTAAATGCACATAATATGTAACTACTGCTGTACATTATTAATTTTGATCGTACTTGAGAGAGAAAGAGAGAGAAAGAGAGAGAGATTTCCTTCTCTATAACTGCACAATATAATTGCCTTTGTTATATTACTCCGCTATTAAATGATTATATCGATATAACAGCAATATATGTTGCATTAACATATATAATAACGGTCATCATGATGCAGCAAAATTTGGATCGTGAAGCATGCTCTCATAATGAAGCAGCATATTTTTTTTCGATTAGTGATAATTACTTTTACGAGCAACAATCGCGCCCCCATCGAAATATTATTCGTGGCAATGAGGGTGAATAAATTTTAATAGCTGATCAATCTAAAACAACGGGATACTTTTGTGTTATTACGTCTACTGGGCATTATTTTTATGATTTTTATATTATCTATGGTGATATAATGGAGGGGGGGAGGGGAGAGGGGAGGAAATATCGGACAATTTATATTCCTATTATACAACATTTCAAATATCGACATACATATATATATATGTAACTGTTACATAATTCTTTGGTTACTGGCGTATTATATTTCTGCTATATAGATGTAATATAATTCGAGCAGAAAATTAGAACCAACATGCGTTACATGTCGTTATATTACGTCATGTAACAGTAACATTACTATCTGCTGAATGCACGAGACGGAAGACGAAAGATACGATTAATCGCATCCGGATAATATTTTCATGCTTATCGCCGCGATGCAGAAGTGAAAAGGTGCACAGACATCGTAGCTTTTCACGAAGTACTCGAGACGTCGAGTGTTTCACGGCTGTCTACTCAACCCAGGATCGCAGCATCGAGCCAGATGTTGCTTGAGCGTACGAATGTATGTTCGGCTTGCAACGTGTCGTCTCGCTCGCTCCCGCGCCACATTCGTCTCTCATTCTTCCACACCCTCCCTCGCTCTCTCACGCTCCTAACCACCTCCTCCACCGCCATGCTGGCTAACATATACATACACGCGCATCCTAGGACCGCGTGTATGTACACGCATGAGGCGCGCACGGACGTGGTAAGAAATCTCGAACCCAGACGGCCGGGCGATCGCGGCGCCCGCAAAAGTTCCAGCGATTGGCCGCAACCGGCGAAACAACGAAGGAAAATCGCAGACTCCACCGGCAGGAATCGTCACCGTAAACTCGTGGCAACATGCGAGCCATCGTGCATGTGGGAGAATTCACACCTCGGCAGAAAAGCAAAAAGCAGAGAAGCAGCAAGTCCAGTCAAGAAGTCGCGCTGATAGTCTGCTCTCTTAAGAGAGAGGGAGAGAAGAAAGAAACGGACTATCAACGCAACTTCTGACTGGATGCCGCCTCTCTGCTTCCTATATTTCCGCCAAGGTGTGAATCCTTCCTCGCATGTTGCGATTCGCGTGATTATTTTCTCACGGATGAATGAAATCTCGAAATTACATTTGAATATGGCGGGATCAGAGATGTCGCTAAGGGTGCCGCCGACGAGGCAACGCTGGCTACGAGGCTCTGCCGGGGAGCTGTGTGCGCATGGCATTAGCTCGACACGGCCTTTTCTGTCGTGGAGTCTGAAGGTGAGTGGTCGCTCGTGCTGTGTTGAGCGCGGTTGCTAATCCGACGAATCTTGTACTGAGGATAGGACATCGAACGACAGGTATGGAATAGAACGACGCTCGAGGTATCGGCGTGCTGTGTAGTGCGAGCAGTTTTCCCATCGCGCCGCGATTTTCCCCGCGATTCGCAATCGACGACATCGCCGCCGAGAAAGTGCCGCATGGCCGGTCGCGGTCGATGTGCTTTCCTCTCTCTCTCTCTCTCTTTCTCTTTTTCGCTCTCTCGCTCGTTCATTCGTTCGCTCGTTGCTTCGACCTGTCGACGGTAATCTCGACGACGAGCGTCGCAACGCCGGGAAAATAATTTTGTCGGCGACGCGTCGGGAGAACGAACCGGCCGGTCGGGTCGTCGACGAGATCCAGGACGCGACCGGATGCGCTAATGGCGGCCACCGCCGCTTGTCAGAGCGCTGGAGCGGCGGTCACGAGTTCACTCGGCCGCGTCGTCGGAGGGAATTCTCAGCACGCTGTTTGCTCCGCGGCGGAAAAGTCGCGGTAATCGCAGCGAAAAGAACGAATGATCGCGCGTATGTCCGTCTGGACGCACGAGCAACGGCGATGCCGAGAACCGGAAACGCGAGGTTAAAGTTCTCTCTCTCTCTCTCTCTCTCTCTCTCTCTCTCGATGAGTCGCGGGTCCGCTTCTGGAGGCCGTGTGCAACGATGATGACCTTGTGCATGAAGCTTTCAAAACGTCCGGACTCCGACGACTCGCCGCATCGTCGTCTCCGGTAATATGCCGTTCCATCGAAATCGCCGACCGAATCTGATCGTGTTTGAATTCGCTCTTTGTTCGCGGAATGTACAGTCGAAAGCCAGCGGAGAGGGACGAGCGTCGCCAAGTCAGTTCGTTAACCGTGAAGCGATGATTGGGCCTGGCTGGGCAAGGGGAGCCGCGATCCGCGCGTAAAAACTGGGCGGTATCTGCTGTCCGGGTTCGCGTTTGTGAGCGCTTGAACGATTTCCGACGAGTGGATTTCTTGCGTGAAATTAACGACCGACTCGCCGCTCGCGCGAAACAAAAGGAGAACGCGACTGTTGCGCGATAATGATCAATCTGTTGTGTGTATGTGTGTATGAGAAAGTCGTGCAACGACCGTAAAATTCCGATTCGATTTCTTCCCGTTGGTACTCAGAGAGAGAGAGAGAGAGAGAGAGAGAGAGAGAGAGAGAGAGAGAGAGAGATGCACGGCTGTGATTAAGGCTCGATCGTATTCGTAATTTTCCATGTACGTGACGAGCTGCGAAGGACGTAGCATATTAGCACTCGCCGATAATACGCGCAAAGTTGCTCGGGAATAAGCGTCGCCACGCTCAGGCCGTGATTTCCTGGTCGAGTTGCGAAATTCCACACGTATTTCGCTTTGAACGATGAGAACACCGCAAAAAGGATCGGCAATAACGTGGCATCGTATGCTGCCGAGCGTCGCGAAGATCGTGGCAACAGCGCGCCGCTCCTCCTCGCCATCTACAAAATGGCTGCCGGCTGCCGTTCTGGAATGTTCACATTCGGCCACGTGGATGGCGGACAAAGACACCGCCGACCGATGGAGCATATCTCGATCGGGATCGTGCTGCGTCCGACTCCATGTTGCGCAAGAAGCCGCAATATGGAGTCGACTGGTGTTCGTTGCAAATCAGGACGGAATATTCGATGGTGCTGCGATATAAAAAGCGCGAGTCCTGATACTGAATTTTACCGAGCATCGCGACCGGCTCCATATTGTATTATCAATTTATATTTTGCAACAGATTGTTTGTCATATGATCTATAATACTTTGATATAATACTATAATAATATAATATTTTATGACTTTTACAATTTAGAAATGTACTTTAGTACTTTGCACCCTAATATGATTGATAATTGCGATTTATAATGGTACAGTGATGATAAAATATACCTTACATTCGCGGTTTTCACTGGAGGATTCTCTTTGAGTTTGATGATAGTCGAGAACGTCTGAGTACCATTCTAGTCTTAATATCTTCACTGATAGAACTTACATTTCGCAAAGAGATTATTTTGCTTGCACATTATCAGCATATTGTAAAGCCGTCAAAGTATATAGTTTTAATTTTTAGGCTCTTAATTAGTCGCATTTAATTTTTCTTTTACAGTTTTAACGAGACTATCATCAAAAATACAACATGGGTAAGGAGAAGACTCATATTAATATTGTCGTCATCGGACACGTAGATTCTGGCAAATCTACCACCACAGGACACTTGATCTACAAATGTGGTGGTATCGACAAGCGTACCATCGAGAAGTTCGAGAAGGAAGCCCAGGAGGTAATATTTTGTAACTTTTATGACAATTTAGAAATATGCTTAAGTATTTTGCACCCTAATATGATTGATAATTGCGATTTATAATGGTACAGTGATGATAAAATAAACCTCACATTCGCGGTTTCCACTGGAGGATTCTCTTTGAGTCTGATGAGAGTTAAGAACGTCTGAGTACTGTTCTAGTCTTAATATCTTCATCGATAGAACTTACATCTAACAAAAAAGCAATGCCTAGTGCAACACAAAATTTAATCTAAACGATTGCTTTCCAGATGGGCAAGGGCTCGTTCAAATACGCTTGGGTGTTGGACAAGTTGAAGGCGGAACGCGAGCGCGGTATCACTATCGATATCGCTTTGTGGAAGTTTGAGACTGCGAAATATTATGTTACCATTATTGATGCTCCCGGACATCGGGACTTCATCAAAAACATGATCACTGGTACTTCGCAAGCTGATTGCGCTGTACTAATTGTTGCTGCTGGTACCGGCGAGTTTGAAGCTGGTATATCAAAGAACGGACAGACTCGCGAACACGCTCTCCTCGCCTTCACACTCGGTGTAAAACAACTGATCGTTGGCGTCAATAAGATGGATTCGACAGAGCCTCCTTACTCTGAGTCCAGATTTGAGGAAATTAAGAAAGAAGTGTCATCCTACATCAAAAAGATCGGTTATAATCCGGCTGCAGTGGCATTCGTGCCCATCTCTGGCTGGCACGGAGATAACATGTTGGAGGTGTCCGCGAAAATGCCCTGGTTCAAGGGATGGACGGTAGAGCGAAAGGACAGCAAGGCTGAAGGTAAATGCCTCATCGAAGCGTTGGACGCGATATTGCCGCCTACCAGACCGACCGACAAGGCTCTTCGTCTTCCCCTTCAGGTAACGCGGATTTTTCATTTTGAATCGATTTGTAATTGTAATTGAACGTGAAAACACTTGCTGCTTCATTTAATAATTTAGTTCAGAATACTTGGTCAAATTTATTGAAAGTATTCGATATCCGTTAGATATAAAATGTACAACTAATCTCATTGGAATCGGAATAAGCGTACTTCATTTTATTACAGGACGTGTACAAGATTGGTGGTATCGGAACCGTACCTGTTGGTCGTGTCGAGACTGGTGTGTTGAAACCTGGCATGGTGGTTACCTTCGCACCTGCTGGACTGACCACTGAGGTTAAGTCCGTGGAAATGCACCACGAAGCTCTCCAGGAGGCTGTGCCCGGCGACAACGTTGGTTTCAACGTTAAAAACGTGTCTGTTAAGGAGTTGCGTCGTGGTTACGTTGCCGGTGACTCTAAGAACAACCCACCTAAGGGTGCTGCTGATTTCACCGCTCAGGTGAATAATGCGCTTGATTACACTCCTGTCTTCCATTATTTATACAATAGTTACAATTTACTAATGCACTATGATGATGATAACAATTATATTTCATTCGTGGTTTTCACCAGAGGACTCGGTCTAGTGATGGTTGTATACGTCTGAGTGCTTTAGTATATCCCACAAATTTGTCAATTTGTGCAAATTGTAAAATATGTACAGATAACTATATAAAAAAATTGTTTGTGAAACGTATAATTAATAAAATTCACTTTCGTATAGGTCATCGTGCTGAACCACCCTGGTCAAATCAGCAACGGATACACGCCTGTGTTGGATTGTCACACTGCCCACATCGCGTGTAAGTTCGCCGAGATCAAAGAAAAGTGTGATCGGCGTACCGGCAAGACTACTGAGGAGAACCCGAAGGCAATCAAATCGGGCGATGCGGCGATTGTTACTCTTGTGCCCAGCAAGCCCATGTGCGTGGAGGCCTTCCAAGAGTTCCCACCTCTGGGACGTTTTGCCGTCCGTGATATGCGTCAGACAGTTGCTGTCGGCGTTATCAAGGCCGTGACTTTCAAGGACGCAACTGGAAAAGTCACCAAGGCCGCTGAGAAAGCCCAGAAGAAGAAATAACTATTACAATAGTTGTTTCCGTGCATGTACCGATAGTTTCCGTGCGAATATGTCGCCGGATGAACGCTGGCATACAACAGCCAACGTAGCTCGCTCTCTCTCGTCACGCAATTCGCGCATGCTGGACATCGTAACGTCGACATTGTCATTGTCGCTGACCACGGAACTCGCACAACCACAAGTCGTTAAAAAGAAGGAAATTACAATTCAGTTACGAAGATTGGTTATTCGAGCGCACGGGAAAGTGATATATACGTTGCGTTTCCTCGACGCGAGAGTATTTCGTTTGTCGAAGTGGCTGCTTCGTCATTTCTCTCACCGTAAAGAATTCCGCAGGAAAGGAAAATCTCACCATCTAGACGACGGTGACGATCGATTGGCGAAATACAAACGGACGACGCGCACGCGTGAAAAGAGAAAGCGAACTTCGCGCGAACTATCCAATAACTTCATAACATCGTAAATTTAGCGCGGCTTAATTATATTTTCTAATTATTCGGAAATAAATTCTGTATCTGCTCGATACTCGAAAAAAAAAAAGGAGAAAACATTTCATTGCAATTACTCATTCTAATTTTGTTTCGATGTTCGACTGCAAATTGGTAACGTATTCATGTTTTTGTTACTTGTACCTTTTGAAGGAATTCCTCATTTATCCGCTCTCATTTTACAGTAATTATACGATTCGAAAGTAAACTAATCACGATGAAACTCAGTAATTTTTCATCTTTCTCGATAGCTTTTCATATTAATCGTTCAGACTGCTATATCGATTCACAGAAAACTAGATAGAGGAGACAGTGGTGGTAGGCTTCGGCAAAAGTAGATTTCGTTGGGAGATGGGACCTGTTTAATAATTATCTAATAATCATCGTTTAATTATTTGATTAGATGAGAAGTGAGTCGTCTTGTAAACTTTCTACAAGGTACTTTTATCATAAACTTTTTTTCTGCCACGTGTGATTCGCATGAAATCGCGAGACATGTTCAAGAAGAATGACGATTTTTATGATAACTCTGCATCTTTTATCCCGCGATTCTTCTACAATTACATTGGTTAAAGGTTTTCTGTACATACATATAAGTAACAGAGATGACAAATAAAAGAAGTGAATAAAGAAGCTACGGAAACGAGAGATAACCGATGAATTTATTATCGTTCTAAACTCAACCCGATCTTTCACCTCACAGCATGCCTGAACGTTGTATAACATTTATATGAAAATCACTAGAAAATATTAAGCAACATGTGACTGCCCTAAAACACATGAAATAATACAATTGATTGGCTATGAGTGAAAATTGTTAAAGATAAAATTTATTATGGTTTATTCGGTTTGTCAGTAGAGACTGTTGGTAGCGACAAGTCGAGGTTTGACACAGGTATATCAAAACGGCATATTGAATGTAAAAAAAATGTAAATAAACACGCCATCCTTAAGCTCCAACTCATCTATACTTCCATGAACATTTTCCGAACGCGTCTTTACTCCCACATTACACGTGATAAGCAGCTCGTTGTCGATCCTAGATCTATCAAGTAAAAATGTTCGCTGGATCCAATATTGTACGTGCTTGCATTCTTATTATGTATTTAGGGACTCGTGCTTCTGTATTTTTCGCTCAAATCGCTTTAGTGTAGCTACAGACGAGACACTAATAAAGGTCTTGCGGGATTTCGAGTACCGGAGAAATTTCTCCGAGTGCTAACGCCCTCTTGGGAATATCATGGCTGAAATATGAAGCTGTAGCTCGAAATAAGCGTAAATGGTAACAGATATAGAATAATGGAAAAAAAATATCAAAAGTATCGGAAAGTATCAAAAAGGTAACTAGTACTAGGTTTTATTCAAATTAGGTTAGGAGGGAGCAAGGTAGACATTCAGGCTCTCGTATTCTCTATACGTTGACGTCGCATGATTCTCTTGTTGCTTCAAGCATTGACGAGGTAATACTAAAGACTGTCAACCCTGGGTAAATTTTCGAATTGGCAAAGGGGCCCCGAGGGCCTAGAGGTAATTCAAGAGTGATGATAATATCAATTGTTTCAGCTACACCGAAGATAACACGACATTTGTATCTTTGTCTTGTTTCTATCGCCTGTAGAATTTACTTTTCAACTCTCTGAAACAGAGAGAAAAGGGGAGAGGTAGTTCCTGAAGATTTATACAGGACTGACAGTTTTTAATATTATCTCGTCGGTGACGTTACTTCGTCAGTAATAATACCTCTTCGGTAGTATAGTTATTATTAATTTTTGAAGTTGGACTGTTAAATGTAATTGATGTGTTTTATACCCATTTTTTCAGAGGGCGCTTCGATGAAGGTGATCCAAGAAACATTTATGACATGACAGCTCTCAAATTCTGATATAAAACATCTGATTCGGTAAACATGGCGGCGTTGAGAAAATGTGTCTCAGGCGTTTGCAATATTCTATCAAACAGCGTAAATTTGTTGGGATGCAATGTAAGCAGCTCGTCATCACTCTTTTGTTACATATTTTTCCTTATGTCGAAATAATTGTAAACACGGCTTTATGCGATAATTAGAATTATTTAGTTTCATCCTAACCTTGTATCTCTCACACATAATTTAATGTATTCTTCTTGAAGCATAAGCGTATTTAATTACAATAGTAATTGCTCCATATCTGCTTTATACAGTTTCAACAGACACGAAATCACATCAACGCTAGAATGAAGCGAGATATGAAGCGTAGAAGTTGGGCCAAGCAGTATGCAGAGGAACGTCTGCGATTGGTTGTCATGAAGCGAAATGATATTTTACCGGCTGAAATAAGAGTAAGTATTGATCCTGGCTTTATCAATACGTTCGTAATTATAATTGTTTCTTAGTTCAAATTTCATATTCCATAACATTGCAAGCCTTCTATATAATATATTTTCTATATAATAATTATTCTTCTAGGAACTTGTAGGTAAACAAATAACAGAAACAATTCCCAAGCAGACCGCTCTGAGACAACTGACACCGAGATGTGTAGTGACTTCTCGAGGTTATGGTACTGTACAAAGATGGAGAATATCAAGGTTCATCTTCCGCGAATTAGTTGATTACAATAAAATGGCTGGAATGCAACGTGCCATATGGTAAAGCGGTATATATTAGTATACATAAAATTGTACACTATTTCAATATATACATATGTTAATGAGATACTTATGAGTGGATATAGATACATTCACAAAGAATAAATTTAATTCTTATTGTATTCTCATTCCTGTCTTGTTCTAATCTGTCAGAAGAAGGTCTAACTTGGCATTTGTACATAATACATTTTTCCAATGTCATTCTCATCGAAAAATTGCTATATCTTTAAAAAGTAAGATTTATATATTTTAAGAAATACTTCTAAAATTCCCGGAAACATGCAATAATTTATATAAGTACTAGTAATTGATTAAAAATGAATGTCGGAATCAGCCAGTCGTTCGAGAGAAACTTCTGTTCCAAGAATAATGCGACATATATCGAAAAGCTCCGATTGCACCGGCTGTGTGTTTCATAAAGAGATCGATTCGAGAACGTGCATCAAACAGGTACAAACAGGTGCGTTTCTCATAACTGTTCGCGGACAAATCGCGTGCTTGAATATTTTATCAATCCTAACACCTAATACATCCCTTTTGTCATCGCACCGCCGCTTATCTCCAATTGGAGAGTACAAACGAAGCTTATTGATCGGAAAATCGTAAAATACTCTCCGAGAAAAATCTGGAGTAGCGATTGAAGCATCGCGGAATACAATACAACGACACGAAAGTGGCTCTTACGAATATAAATTGGAACGCGATGTCCGAATTTGTACAGAAGCTTCTATCCTCTCTATTGATGCTTTGTGATATAGACACTTGGTAAGTTTTTCGAAGCGAATAAATTTCCTCCGCCTTACCGTCGATCAATTATTAATATATTTATCCGTCTTATACCGAGAAATTGTATCGCTTGTAATTTGTTTTCCAAACAAATTACAAGCGATACTCGCGGAAAGTTCTAAGTGAAGAAGCTAGCGGAGAAGACAAAGTTTACAGTTCGAAAGGACGAGCTTGAGAGGGAAATCTTCAAGCGAAGAGGAAAGTTGGAAAATTATCAGGAAGCCAACTCCTGTTTCTGCGTATTCGTAGTTCCTTAATTAACCCCGGAACTTACAATCTCTCGTTGTGGTGAAGTCGACCCTGCTGCGGCAAATTGACCCCCGCGACCTCCGCGACCGGCGTTCGTAAAAGACGCTCGAGACAGATGGATGCTCGTAATTTACGCGTTGAAAAAAAAATAGGTAAATGACTCAATCAATACAACCGAGTGTTGTACATGTGTATTTTATTCTCGATCAGCCACGCGCTCGCGAATAAGTGGTGTAGCCGACTATCTGATCGGACATGCGTCGCATAGCTTCGTGTAATCGCTCTCGATTCAAGTCGACTCTTCGCTCGCTAGTACACGTTGACGCACCACGTGCAACGGGTTGACGACGATCATCACCGAAAGCATCTGTGCGTTTTTTCGGCTATCGACGCTTTATTCATCTGCGAATGAGCGCGGCTACGAGAAGCGCGAGGAGGACGTTATGCGCGTACGTTGCGATTTCCATCATATTCGAGAAAAACGGGACAAAAACGCGGGTTGATTCTTGGAAATTCTAAATGTATCGTACGACGATCGAAGAATTAAGAAGAAAAGTAATGAAGAGTAATGAGTATTAAGGATAGCTTAGGAAGGTTTTTACACGCGCGGTGAAGTCTTTGATCATCGTCATTATTAATCGAAATTGTTCCGAGTAGTTGAAAGTAAAAAACTACGATATACGCGTTGCGAAGTTTTCTTTTTAGATTTTTCTCGACATTGTAGAAAAAGGTCGCGGACACAAATTTTTCATGTTGAAACATAACGAGCTATTTATTAATTTAATAAAAATTATTAACGTTAATTAAAAAAAAAAAACATAGAGCCGAGATCGTATTCCGAGATAACAGTCAATTACTTTATTAAGCTAGCACACTGGGCAAATGACCAACCCTTTTCCCGCAGCTCAGCTCACATTCGATATAATTAATTGCGGCGATAATTAATTGCTCGAACACATATCGCGCTTCGTCCACAAGTCGGAAACATTTGATGCCGCGCGTCGAAACCGCGCTATCTCTCTCTCTCTCTCTCTCTCTCTCTCTCTCTCTCTCTCTCTCTCTCTCTCTCTCTCTCTCTCTCTCTCTCTCTCTCTCTCTCTCTCTCTCTCTCTCTCTCTCTCTCTCTCTCTCTCTCTCTCTCTCTCTCTCTCTCTCTCTCACTCTCTTAAAACTACTCGATAAGAAGGCAAATCATATATTTTCCTCGATCGAAGCGAAAGTTTCGCACTCAAGATTTTTTATATCCAGCGCGCGTTATTCTTTGCCGAAAGGAACGCTTTGTGTTTCTCACGACATTCCCGTCGTGAAACCGCCACTTCCCCAAACGCGAATGGTATGATGTTGAAAACGAAGAAGATACTCAGCTCTGGTTCTAAGAGAAGTACGACTTGCCAGAAAATCTGGCCGCTCTTGGTGCGCAGGAAGAAGAAGCTCATGGAGCCCCGACTTACTGAATTGCATCCTGTGGACTCGCAGGGGGAACGACCAGTTCTTCGCAACGGCTTCCTCAGCGAGCACTCTTTGTCCACGAGCAACAATGTGAGAGCCCGTCGTGTTTATCTCTCGTGCATCGTAAAACGTGTTCATGTTTCTAATGAAAGGAGAGAAGAGGTGAAGGGAGGGAAGAAAGCATTTGTAAAGTGTATATAGGAAGAGGAATGGATTTTTTCAGCAACGTTCGAGTGTCTGAAACGTGTGAAAAATATTCAAAAGGAATCCGGAAAATCGCGGTCGAACATTTATCTCTTCGAGTCCTTGTAACGAAAGATACTCTGCATTCAATCGACTGTGTTAAGTTTGATTTAAAAATCCAAACTTTGAGAAATCTAAATGGAATTTCGTCGATTGCGACTTTAATCGACGCTTCCCGTTGCAGGATCCAGAGAGCTTCCATTGCGCGATAGCGCCTGTTTTAGTGCTGGCCCAATTGTTCGGGATCCTACCGGTGTCGGGATTGCTCCAGCTGACTCCTTCCAAGCTGAGATTCGCGAAATTCTCACCTCGCACCGCTTACACCACCTTCATAACGACGATGGTGCTCGTAATGGCGATACTGTCGAATATTCACATGATAAGAACGCTAAACTCCACAACGTTCGAAGTGCAAGGTAAACAGATAAGTCTTTCATGTTCCGCCAAGCTTATCCCAACTTGACTGACACGTGAAGCTCGTTATGGGACTGCAGCGACGACAGCGACGCATGAGAATTCGTTCGCGCGAAGTTTCACTCGCTGTGCGAATTATTCGTTTCTGTAAACATCCATTAAAGTCGATCGGAATTCGGTGAGTTTCTCCGCCGCCTCTCTTTGGAGAAATAATCGCGAAAAGACAGGAAGATCAGACGGATCGGAGCAATTTTTATGTTCTTTTACATATAGGGTGCTAAATATCAAACGTAACAGGTAAAAAATCTCGAAAACTATGAAAGATATTGAAAAAAGCTAAAACACGTATTCCATGATTTCGAAAGGGAAAGAGAATGGCATTATCAGTTTTTTATTTGGAAGGCATTTTCAAGGTTAGTTAAAAGTCAACTTAATTTTTTAAAATAGAAAGCCCAATTTTTTATTATATCTTCTTTTTCTATCAATTAATTTGAACGTTGTTCAAATTAATTGATAGCCTGAAACATTTTTTTATTTGCCTAATATTTTTTGAAATATTTCAGGGAAACTTCAGGGTAATTTTTTCAACATTTAACTTACGACATCTCGCTTAATTTAATAATTTTGAAATTTCCAAAGGTCGATAAGTTAACAAAAGTTAGAGCACTATTATAGTAATATATTCTTGATAGTAAATAAAGTAAAAAAGTCTAATACTATTTTTTCTTTCGACGAATAGTTAGCGAAATATCGTAAGTTAAATGTTGAAAAAGTTACCAAGTTTTCCTGAAATATTCCAAAAAATAGTAGGCAAATAAAAAAATGTTTCAGACAAAAGTTGTTCAAATTAATTGATAGAAAAAGAAGATATAATAAAAAATTGGGCTTTCTATTTTAAAAAATTAAGTTGACTTTTAACTGACCTTGAAAATGCCCTCTAAATAAAAAACCGATAATGCCATTCTCTTTCTCCTACGAAATCATGGAACACATGTTTTAGCTTTTTTCAATATCTTTCATAGTTTTCGAGATTTTTTACCTGTTACGTTTGAAATTTAGCACCCTGTATATATCGAATCTGTTATGTATATGTCGGATCTGTTATATTCTTATATTATTTATTATATTGTTACATCATTTATCACATTATCACATTTCTTTTCATCGATATTTGCAGAAACAATCTTGTATAATCTCTTTTAAGCTTGGCATGTTCTTTATTACCTTTTCATTTTTTATAGTATAGTAATTTTTTATAGTATAATATATTATAGTAATAATATTTTGCGTATAAAATTTAATTTGTTTACAAATGACATTATAGTGAAAAATTATCGCTGTCCCACTGTGACTTTGATTTTTCGTGAAGATCAGCGCATCGCATGTGTTTCGTGTGCGACAGCGAACGTGTCCAAGTGAGACTTACGATACAAAATATAAATAACAAAGGGACAAGTTTTCTTATTTTTATACGAATATATTGATACGATTTATATTGATTTATTTGTGATGTTATAGGCTGACTTGACATATTATATTAATTTATATTGATGAAAAAAAGAGAGAGAGAGAGAGAGAGAGAGGAGAGAGAGAGAGAGAGAGATATTTATTTACTTATTTTTTTATTTGTCATATTTTTTTACGGTGTTTTAGACCATACATCGTTCTTTCGAACGACGTGCTCTTCCCTCCTCGTGTTTTCGGAGTTATTCCCTCGCGCCTACGATTTGACTCGCGCGATCTGATTTCAGGGGGAATCGCCGCTGCGACGGCGGGCGCGGTATTTTACAGCAACAGCATGATAGGCTTGATCATATTTTTCTGGCTGTCGCCGCGTTGGGTGATTCTTCAACGCGACTGGAGGGTCATGGAACAATTCATAGACAGGTCGGTGTCGGCGCGCGTTTGTCGCGCTGGATACGAAAATCGCAGCGCGGCTCATGCTGTCGTACGATCGCGTTTACACTGCTTATGTGCATACATTTAGCCGTATATATATAATGAACGAGCGCACGTGGAGATACCTCTTTAAAAGATATCGAGTAGATTACGATCGCGTCACTTCTACGCGCGTTCTACGCGATGACAGCTGACATTACGAAAGCACTCGCAATAGAAAAAATGTCACGCCGTCTAATCTCGCCTTATCGATCGCGGGAACGCTATCGCGGGGGATCGCTTTAACACGAGGATTGCAAATATTCATCATATTATTATTATCGTAATAAAGCGCAGCGAGAACATGCCGTAGGTCAACTCGTGAATAATTAATGTCAGGCAGCAAGTTTGTTCCTCTGCAAACACTCGCGGGGAAGGTTACGAGTCGCTTGCTAATTTTGGACACGGAATATTAGCGACAAAGACAGATACACGCGTTCGATTAGGTCCCTCGAGACATCTTGTGGGAAATAAATTTATAAAGAAGAAGAAAAATCGCGGAAGTTACTTGCGATTTATCCGTTCGCGCTGTTTTATATATTTTCTTCTATTTTATACATCACATTCGAATATATATTATGTATTTTATATATCACTAAGAGGTTAAATATATTACATGATATATTATTCTATAGTTTATTTATACGTAAAATTCAAACGATCGTCGATATCCATTACGTCATAATTACGCGATCGCTATCTCGGTGCGATTGAAAGACGGGACCGAATGTAATTTCCTTCGCCATTAGAGGTGAGAAAAATACACCATTGTGCAGCCAATAGCAACGAGATATCGTGGCTTTAAATATTTGTTTGGAGAAGAGCCTTAATATTGAATAAATAGGACTTTCTACTTCCCGAAAAGCGACCGTCGGAGTAAATCGCCTAATAAGAATTTGCGGGAGTGTCGCGCAATCACTCAGACTCGATGAACTTCGCATCGCATCTCGCAGTCTCTTTTCCTTCTTTGCAGCAATAAAGCGACACGGCCGAAACTTCGCTGGAAGCTCTACGCGATGAGCGTGACCATCCTGCTCCTGGCCGTCATCGAGCACGTCCTGAGCATAGCGGTGAACTCTGAGAAGTACGATTGGAGCGGTACAGCGAATTCGACGTTTCAGAATTTTCTCAACGTCTACTGCAACTCGTCCCACGCGTTTATTCTAGAAACACGTGAGTCGTGCGCACACTGATTTCTCGACGGTCGTCGTCGGTTGAGAAAAGCGAAGATCCGACGATAAGAATGTAGAAAACGTTTCTTCGAATCTAGAAATTTTTCTCGATTCTTGCGCGGAACGTATGAGCGATAAATTAATTAATTAATTAATTATCGTCGAAACGAGGGCGTTTTTGGAAGGGCGTCGTTTTGAATGGGCTCGAGATTATCTCAGGTATACTTTGGAAACTCTTTCGAGGTGCTTTTCTCATTTTCAGTGAGATACAACTTGGCGCTTGGTATCTTCATCTTTATCGTCAGCAAACTGTCGACTTTCACGTGGAACTTCATCGATCTCTTTATTATGATGGTAATGAAAAGAAGCAATGACGCCTCGCGAATTATTGCTCCGCATCATTCTATTTTTTGGCCATCATCGCCGCTGAAAGCTGTCGATCTCTGGTTAATTGATCCCGATGCTCATTCGGTCGGAGTTTCAGGTATCCACCGGCCTGGCCGAGAGGTATAAAACGTTGAACAAGCAAGTCACGACTTCCGTGTCGAAGCATCGAGCGATAGACTGGAGTAGAGTTCGCGAGGATTACGCCGCTCTCACTTGCATGGTGAAAAAAGTGGACGCCGACATCGCACCCATAATCCTCCTGTCCTTCGCCAACAACCTTTACTTCATCTGCTTGCAGCTGCTCAACGGCTTGTCGTAAGTATCTCCAATGGTCATCGGAGGAAAAAAGTATGTTGATTATTGTTCATTGATAGCGAGACGTCAATTAACGCGAACGCGAACCCGCAATTATCAACGAGCAACTACGCTGCTGCTCTGCGAATGTGATTTAATATTGAAGAGAATAGAAGAAATAAAAGAAAATTTACCAAGAGGAACAGAGTTTTTGTTGAACAAGCCGTCGATTTCGTCTTTATATTTTTATCAAATTTCTATATCGTTACAGTTTTCAATTCTTGATCAAATTTCATTCGCACAGCGTTATCGTTATTATTTTTACATCGGATCATCGTCTGTGATGACAATTGTGTACATGTGTGATTTTCGGATACTTTTTATTCAAAGACGAATATATAAAAACGTCGGTCTTAATCTCGCTCATTGTTTGCAGTCAGCCGGACGACAGTAGCCTCCTCAGCAATATCTACTTCTTCGGGTCCTTCGCATTCTTGATCGGCAGGACAATTCTTGTCACTCTATTCGCCTCCAGGGTCAACGATCAAAGCAGAGTGGTGTTGCCGGCACTGTATACCTGCTCAGCGTCCGCCTACAATATAGAGGTAACGATTTAAAATTTGATGCGGAAGAGAAGATTCGTACGAAGGTCATATTCTAAAAGTCACTCTTCTTCTTCTTCCTCTTCATTTTTTTTCTTGCCGTCGTAAAGAATTACTCACGCTGCTGCGTTACGCTTTACGAGGAAATCCGCGCGATAATTGTTTGCAGACTGAGAGGCTGATGATGCAAATCACCACCGACGACGTCGCGCTCACGGGAATGCGCTTCTTCTCCGTCACGCGGAATTTCATGTTAGCGGTAAGGACGATCGCCGATTGTGCAAGTGCTTCCCGAGGCTACCGGCGTATGACGTATACAAGCGCACGATCGTGACAAGCCTCGCCGTCTCGTAGTTTGTGTCGCGCAACACATATTTGCGCGAAAGCAGCTGAACACTTAAACTAACAATAAGTTTACTCGCAGGTGGCGGGTGCGATTGTAACGTACGAAGTCGTATTGCTGCAGTTCAACGTCTCGATGAAGAAGTGAACACACATCGAAAACAACATCGAGAAACGCAACATCGTCGAAACGAAATATCTGTGTGTAAGCTGGAACATAAAAGACGAAGTGTTTGTACATTTGTTAATTTATTAAGGAAACGGAAATAAAACAGAGCGAAACAATTCACAGATATAAGTGAGAAAAGAAAGACGTATAGAAATATACACGTGTATTGATAAAAATTTGAGACGTCAATGAGTGTATAATGTACGAGTGAAATAAAAATATTCGTTGAATATTCATTAAAATTTGGCGGTCACGCGCGACATGTTTCGCACGTGTAACGCACCTCTCGTCGGCTACCAGCTACACTTTGCAAATCAGATAGACATCATTAATTTGCAAAGATCACTTTGGTTGAATCGATTATGTCTTTTATTGAGAAATAACACGCTTCCGACCACTTCAGCAGACCTTAATGAACATAAAACGGGTTAGTCCATGTATTTTTATTCAGGTACATATTCGCGTATAAATCTCTCGCATCTCTCGAGTTTTATAACAGCATCTCGCCGCCCGTGATTATTTCTGCGTAAATATGCTTTTTATTCGTACTTCGTACAGAGGGATTCTTTTTTATTTGAACAAATAACATTGTCGAGTACGCAGTTTTACACTGAAATGCTGAACCTCGCAAAATCATCGGAACGTAATGTAAATCATGAGAAAATGAATTTAATTACGTCTAATTTAAGTTGTGCCGCTTTCTCACCACTTTATGAGACGCATTGGGACAACTTACAAAAGTACGATTCATTCCTACCAGAATTGGGTAAGTTCATTCTTTTTATACCAAATTAATTTTAAAGTTAATGACTCGTGAGTTAGCTAATTTTACGTTAAAAGTTGATTAATGTTAAGTTAAGTTAAAAAATTAAATTAGTTTATTAAAGTTGAGAATTAATTAATGCTAGTAATGTTAAGTTAGGTGCGCTAAGTTATATGTTTTTCTACATAATAACCTTTTAATTGTACCTTAAATTGAAATGAAGTAAAATCAAAAGGTAATATATTTGATAAAAGAGATAACTTTTGTATTTCTCTTGTATTTTTCATTTATCTGTATTTATCGTATATTTTTTTTAATATGCATTATTTAAAAGGTACATTAGTGTAATTGTAACAGAAAGATTAGAGTGTTTAAAAACAAAACGCTCTCAATTTAGAGCCATTTTCACACGACTTTGAAATGGATTAATTATCTTAACTCGTGACTCGGAACAAGTTAGTGAGTTAACGTTAATCCATTCAGAGACAACCAGAGTTCAGGTTAAGAATTACCCCGTTCAAAATTAACCAAGTCACGTTAAAAGTAATCAGCTTTTAACTTTTTAACTCAACTTTCAACTGATTAATCAGTTACCCAACCCTGGTTCCTACGACGAAGAACGACGTGTCCTCCGCGTTTACGCCGAAGCGCGCGTTATCGCTTTGTGACACGATCATTAAATGCCCGGTGAGACACCTCCCTCTCGCTCTTTTCGCCCGGAACGTATCCTTCGGTTACTCTTATCGGAAGGACTACAACAAAAAGTACATCAGAAGAGATGAGACGAAGTCATGTGCGGAGGTGAGAGCCCGAATGCGAGGAGTGCGGTGCGGTCTCACGGACAATACAGATAGAGATTATGTGTATTTGTGTGCGCGAGACGGTGATTTTATACGTGTACAACGGCGACAGTTCACATACTTATCTCGAGTAAGATTACCGAAAGATCGGTGGAGAAAGCGTGACAATAGAAACTAATGATTTGCGCAATCTAGCGGAAAGTTTGATCATAGACGAATGCATCGTGAGCGCGGAGAATGCGGAAGTTTGTGAGGTCACTCACGGTGGACCTTCTCGACTCAGGTAGGTCGATAGAGTGCATTAGGCAGACCAATGATCCTAAAAACGCGTGAGATAGAGTGGAGAGGGCATATTGTCGTGAATGTCCGGGTGCGAGAATCGCGCGAATTTCATATTTCATGAAGTGTGAAACTTGACTTGTGTGACTTCAGTCGCAGCGGAGGCTGGTCGGGAAGTCATAAACGCGCTGAAACGTGGCGCGTTCGGAGATTTATTTGCGATACGGAGCAATATCTGTCACGTAGTAGATCACCATTTCCGCTAGAGATTTACACGCAGTCGCCGCTTACATAAACTCGCTCGAGTGTGCGGCGTGTGAAACAACAAACCAGGCGGATCGGCAAATTCGAAAGTAGATATTCTGGAGTTGTGTTACAACGCAAACTCGCAAACGAAACAAAAGTGTCGTGTATATACAGAGAACGTAAAATGTCATCAAAACCTGGAGTCGTTCGCGATGCACGCAGGGACACGTGACACGGTCGAATTAATTAATCCAAGCGCGGCTTGAATCGACGCTTCGAACGTGAAATTGTAATCGAGTGCGCAAAAATAAACAAATAAATCAATCACTCGACGAACAAGTGAATAAATAAGTACAATAATACAAAACTGCGAAGAGTGTACGGGTATATAAAGTAGCACAGTGGTGGTTGTACTGTATTTACAAGGTACCATAAAACACGATACATATTGCGTGGCATTCTTCAAGACTCGTGATTTGCAGATGCAGGAACAGGGATATAAGACGGTCCAAGTCCTTTCTAAAGCCTTTTCGCAAGTTTTCTCACTCTCTCTCTCTCTCTCTCTCTCTCTCTCTCTCTCTCTCTCTCTCTCTCTCTCTCTCTCTCTCTCTTTCTCTCTACCTCACCTCGCAAGCGTTCGTAATGTTCGACTGGTCCACTTGCTGGACGGAGTTGAACTGTACCAGTACCAGTTCGTAAGTCACGATGGTTCCAGCGACCTAGATTGTCATCGATAATCGCAAAGCGTTAAACGATATTTCACACAATCGTCGCGAAAGATCAATCCGAGTCATTTTAATAACGGGCGATATTCTTTGCGTGTTTCTTTCATTCTTGCATTCTTCGATCGATAACGAATCGTATCGAACGGTAAGCATGTTCCGAAAATTTCTCTCTCTCTCTCTCTCTCTCTCTCTCTCTCTCTTCCTCTCGAGAATGAGAGATGAATGAAAATCACAATGCGAGAGAACAAGAAGCTTTTCTCAACGAGGAAAAGTATCGAGTAAGTCAGGTCAGATTTCCCGCGCGAGTTCATTTAACTTTGTCGAGACGTATTTCTCTACTTACGGTTAACACGAGGCTCCTCGTCACGGAGAAAAACTTCATCCCCGTTAAGCTTATATTGTCCGTCGTTACTTGCGACAAGAATCTCGAGACCTGCGCAACGTTGTACATGCTTACGTGAGAGCGAAGGTGCGATCGGGGTTAATCCTTAAGTAACATGCTGTTATCTTCTACCATAGCCGACATCCCCCCTCCCATAATCTTTTTAATTAGAATAAAGAAACCTACTCGTCATGGTAAGAGATTACAGTTCCGCTTCGTTGAGAAGAAACTCCGACGAAGAGGAGGTCTTCGACGGAGGATATCGCTGAAGAGTGACGCACGTTGGCTATGGTTTCGAGAGATCGGAAATACGATAAGTAATGTTGAAAACAACGCACCTCGTTTCCGTAACTAGAACTGGAGACGTTGTACAAGATCGGTGCCGGTAAGAGTGACTCGTCGTGAACGGAAGCCGCATACAAGGACACCGCCGTTGTCCTTGCCAGCAGGAAGCCGAAGGAGAAGCAAAAGTAGATCTTCCGCACGATACCGCGTATTGGACTGTTTAAAAAACAATCACACGCACATCTTTATACGCGAGTCTCTCCCGAGAGACTCTCTCTCGAATCGAGCGTCGCGTTCTCGAAGCTGCCTCACGAATTTAGGCGAATTTAACAAAAGGGTTCGAAGATATAAATAAAAAAAAGAAAAAAACACATACAAATGAAAAACTTCTCGTTTCCAGGGTAATTTCTACGAGACGACGCATGCTTGAAGAAATCGCGCTTTTACGTGAGATAAATGAAAAGCAGGAACAAGGCTGCTCTTTCGAGGAGACTATAACAATCTCGCGCGGAACAATTTATTAGTAATTTTTAAACATTCGAGTGTCTTTGCGCTCAAATGTTTCCGCTCAAATGGACAGCCGGACGTACGACGTGAGAAAATGTTCTTGGCGCGAGGAAGCTAAGCTAAGTTAAAGATGAAGTCGCGACGATGCGAGAAGCGTGAGATCGTGAATTAAATCAAACGAGAGCAGAAAACGCGCTTTTATGGTACCGCCACGTGCGTGAATTGTACTTGAAGGAGAACAGCAGCTGAATGCAGATGAAATATAGGTTGGTGGCGAAGGACAGAAGGACGATGCTCGAAATGTGAGAGTCCACTTTGCGTGTTAGGGTCGCCAGGTGATTGTAGTCGTTCCTGGCCTCGGCCCACCACCACTCCGGCATCGCCTTAACAACGAAATGGTATTAACAGCGATTTGTTGATGTAAAAGCAAGGATTACAAGTCGCCATGAGGAGCTCGGTTCGCAGGACCCGATATAGCCACAGGATATCCTAAGCGACATCGCCTTCCAATCGCCTCGACATTTCAATGTCTTTTGGGTATTCTTTGTCTCTCTCCCCCGCGCCTCTCTCTCTCTCTCTCTTTGTCTTTCTTTTTTCTCTAGGCCAAATAACGATTTGCGAACGAGCGAAAGGTAGCTTCGGGACGTCCTGCCGCAGAACGGATATCTGCGTCGGCGAATCTACATGTTTCCTTTCGAATAAATATACTATAGATTGATCATTCAAATATACGGGGTCTCGAACGTGGACAAGTATCGATGACTGCGGGTCGGAAAGAACGAGACGGCGCTTTCAGCGGATCGGATATGTGTGTCTTACCTTTTCCCTAATCGAATTGAGGCGGCTGTTCAGTTGCCTAAACTGATCCGCCAGAGCGATGCTGATGAGAATGAGGAACAGATCGACAAAGTTCCAGGAGAAGGTGCTGAGGATATTTATGGTGTCCACCAGGATTCCCTTCCAGAGGCTGTACGACATCTTCGAGAATACCTGCGCGACGGAAGGAACGTGCGATTAATCACTCATTTCGTTTAAGGGGAAAATTATATATGGAAGGCCGTTTTCGAGGCTATTTTTACGAATTTTTTTAACAGAAAGAGTAAGATCAATAGACTTGAAATTTTCACAGTGTGTTCATTAATGCTCAAAATATAAAATAAATTTTATTCAATTTGAATCACGAGAACCAATTTGAAATTATAGATAAAAATGCAGTCATCCGTTTGCGAGCTCTATGTTTGCTGTCGACATAATTCCAAGCCTCTCACTACTCTGAAATCAAAAACTGAGAGAGTTTTAAAATAAACGGTTGCCATTATAGTCCGTACCAAAATGAAGGCAGTGAAGTCAAGTTTGGAGAAATAATGACTGTACAAGAAAAAGATATCGAAAATGAAACTTTTTTCAACTTGTAATCATGTTTAAAGAAACGAATAAAATAAAATATAACTGTACTCGAGGTAAGGGCACTGTATATACATATATATATATATATATATATATTGTGTAAAAATTCCAAGTTATTCAGTTCAATAATTTTTGCGTTATCGTGTCGACAATTTAAGAAAATGATGTCTCGAGATAAATGCGTTTAAAGTTTCATGTGCACTTTCCGTATAGATAGTAATAAATTTATTTTATACTTTGAGCATTAATGAATACACTGTGAAAATTTAAAGTCCATTGATTTTACCGTTTCTATTAAAAAAATTCATAAAAATGGCCTTGAGAACAGCCTGCTCCACGTGTAATCCTCCTCCCCTCCTCCTAATTTTCACAGACGATTAATCAATTTGAAAGAGTCTGAAGCTTCTTGAGGCTTAGCGGAAGATTGTATTAGCGTATACCTTATAAATTAAGCATATGTACTAAAGATTTAAAAAATGGATATGTTAGGTTGAGAGGAGATAAAATGGGCAGATTCTATATGGCCCCCGAGATGCGTTACCTGCGGGAATTGCGACTGGAAGTAAGTGCCGATAATGTCCATGTCCCCGCGGTGCGTCGCGCACTCCATCGCGCTGATGTACGCGGAAAGCACGGCGGCGCCGTGCTCCACTGCGCGGAGATGATGGAAAAGAGAAACAAAGACGCGATAATGAATATTACAGCTCCATAATCCCGTCGTGACCGTAATCTTATCTTACTTAGGCGATATCACAAAAGTGGCTTTGTCCGGGGACCAGACAAACGTCCGCTATACAGGGTGCTAAATTTCAAACAGATAAAAAATCTTGAAAACTATGAAAGATATTAAGAAAAAGGCTAAAACACATGTTCCACCTTATAGAAATTTCAAAATTATTAAATTAACAAAAGTTAGGGCGCTATTATAGTAATATATTCTTGATAATAAATAAAGTAAAAAAGTCTAATACTATTTTTTCTTTCGACGAATAGTTAGCGAGATATCGTAAGTTAGATATTGAAAAAGTTACCAAGTTTTCCTGAAATATTTAAAAAAAAATTAGGCAAATAAAAAAATGTTTCAGACAAAATTAAAATTGATTGGTAGAGAAAGAAGATATAATAAAAAATTGGGCTTTCTATTTTAAAAAATTAAGTTGACCCTCAACTGACTTTGAAAATGCCCTCCAAATAAAAAACTGATAACGCCATTCTCTTTCCCCTTCGAAATCATGGAACACGTGTTTTAACTTTTTTTAATATCTTTCATAGTTTTCGAGAATTTTCACCTGTTACGTTTGAAATAATTCGCCCTCTCGTTAGTGAAACGGCACCCACCTAACGCGAGCAACATGACAACGGCGGTGACGATCTTGAAGCGAGCCGCGAGGGTGGTCCTCGAGACCCTCCGGTGCCTGGAGGTGAATTCACGTTCCAGTTTCTCCCAGGTTAAAGCCAGGCAGGGCCATTGTCTCGCCAGCCGTACGAACAACACGGCGGTCACCAGGGTGGTGGCATAGAAGACAAAAGTCGCTGCGAAGTGGAATAGGTGATCGCTGGCTCTACGCAGCAACTTTAGAAACGAAACGAGCCTGCCTCTCGAGCGACTTACTCATTTTAGTGGAGTTCACTCCGGTGGCGAACATTCGCAGCACGTTGAAGACCGTCATGGTGAACACACCCAGAAACACGACCGCCGCGTATAGAATCTTCAGGCTGCGCCACGTGAACCTGCGGAACACATTTAGCGCACATGAGATCTGTCAAATTCCGATCGAAAACCGGAATCATTCGAGCATTCTTCTGTCCTGACTCGTTTTCGAGATGGAATTGAATTTTAGATGTCACGTGAACCTGCGGAATATATTTAGGATTCATGAGATCTGCCAAGTTCCGATCGAAGACCGGAATCTTTCAAGCATTCTTCTGTCCCGACTCGTTTTCGAGATGGAATTCAACTTTAGACGCCACGTAGACCTGCGGAACACATTTAGCGCTCATGAGATCTGTCAAGTTCCGATCGAAGACCGGAATCTTTCGAGCATTCCTCTGTCCCGACTCGTTTTCGAGGTCGAGTTGAACTTTAAACCGATCGCCGCAGGCATTCATTTATTTTAACACGACGGTCGCAGTGGTCTCCACCGATTATGCCAATTCGACTTTGAATGGATAGATACGATTCGGCGAAAGAAATTTAATTTACATAATTTACGTAAAATTGTCAGCTGCCGGCGACCGATTACACCGTGATCTAACCACGCTTCGCGAGTAGTCCGATGAGTTTTTTTTTCACAAGATATACTTGGGGAGCAAATATCATTTCAGCGGTCTGAAGGGGTTGCTTGCGCAACCACCGTCCAGGTGGACTCTACATGAACGAAGCTCACGCTACCGGAGGTACGAAGCGTCCGGCTTGTTGACACCACACACAGGAAGCATGGAGAAGCATTGGGCCAGCATGATGATCGGCCTCATGGACGAGTGCAGGCTATCGGTGGAGGGGTCGAAGGTCTCCGAAGGAGGGACAACGGGCACCGACACTGAAAATCGTCGTGATTTTTCAGACAAACATCCGCGGACATGGGCCGGTGATCTCGTTGAAACGGCGGGAGACTTACTCTCCGGTACCACCAGGTCGGTCTTCATGGGATCGAGCCTGCGCAAGTTGCTCCTGGGTGACCTGCGAAAAGGACGGTACTTTCTTACTTTCATGCTTCTCACGTCGGAGCTCCCTCTTATCGCGACCCGCGACGTTCGACCTTCGCGCCGCGCGAGATTCAACTACGATCGACACTCTCGAGGAAGACCGCGGCCGAGCGCGTTAGCGATTCCCTCTGCGAAATTAAAATTTCCGCCGAGCCACGGTGTGTCCCTCGCGCTTGCTATCGAGAAACTCGAGCTTCTGTTTCTAAACACACTCGGTGTACGGAGGAATCACGCACCTTGCGAGAGGCGCGCTGCGGCTGACGGTGTGCACGCTGCACGATCGCATGACGGACAGAAGATAGAGGTTGTAGTCGCAGAGTTTTATCGCGCGACGAGGTGACGAGGGCGGCAAGGGCGCTTTATAAACATCGGGGATTCAATAAACGTCCACTTCGGACGGCCAGTGGAAACTCCTGGCCGCTGCCGCAAGCCTCGTCCTCGTCGAGCACGAGGAGCTGCCGGCCGCGGAGAGGGAGAAACGCGCGCCAGCCGCGAGAGGAGAACCTGACGTCAACGAGCGCGATCCACGGTGGTGGAAAAAGTTGATGATCGTTGAGACGGCGACGGGAGTGTGCGATTCTAGCGAATTCGGCGGAAATTCGCTTCACGCGTTCGCGCCGTCTTGCGAGTCGCGAACAATAGCGTGACGAACGGTGACGACTGTCTCTCCTTGATACTCTGTGAAATTTCGCAGGCTTGCTTTCCGGAGAATCGCGGGCCTCATCTTCTGAAAGCACTTTTAGCTTCGAGGACTGCACAACCACGCACGTTGACAGTTTCGGTAATCGCGAGAAGTCACGCGAGGCGCGCAGCTTGAGAGTTCTCGCGCGAGCGTGTCGCGAATTAGCGCTTTCGGAAACTTTCGCCTGTCGCTTGCACTCACGTCACTCGAATATTACGCTCGGGTGTTGCGAGGCGATAAAAAACAGCCCCCACGCTCTAAATCACCCCCGAAAGATATTGCATTGTCGCGACACGACGGGCGAAGCAAGTCGCGCTGGCCGACGCGGTGTTTATCTATCTTTCACAAAGCGATGTAGCGATGAAAAACAATGCAGGCGGAAACGGATCGCATGCATCGTACGATAGGATCGTTCGAATTAATTAAGCTGACGTGACACTTTGCCGATCGACCAGCTCGATCTTTGGGATCAAAGTCGGCCGACTGCTGAGAAGAAAACGAGAAAGAGAGAATGAAGATCTCGACGAGGGGAAAGTCGCAACGGCTTGAGATAATTGCCGTCATTTAGTCGCTTTCAACAACAGGACGAATATTTATGCATCCATCTTATGTTTGTGCCATTTTATTCTATGTTTATTGAGCGCTCTCTTGTATCGACCCGGTTTTGCCAATCGGTTGTAAACTCATCGAGTCGACGATTTAACAAATTTATATTCACCTCCGCAAGATATCTCAAGAAGAAAAGAGCTCGTATAATGACGCTGAGATTAAAAGAGACGCGGAAGTATATGCATTCATCCGCGTAGTCGACGTTAATATGTCCGCGATAATAACAAGAAGATATTGGTCATTGCTGATTCCAGCGCGAATCCCACGAATTGCCATTATTATCGGAGAACATTCCGTCATTAAATTAAAGTGTTTACACACTCGGCCGTCCTTGTTGGAAAAAGCGTTTATTTGAGGAGACTATTGATAAATCGATTTGTATTATGCGCAGTGCTCGTTAGGGAAACGAGTTCGACCCGTCCGTTCTTAATTAACTTTGAACAAAAGCACGTGGATTAAATACTGCGCCCAATTATCGCCTAAAACACGATGTGTCTAAAACACAATACATATCTGTTGTTAAATACAAAATTTGAAAGACTTTCTCAATCATGCGCGAACGAGAGATATTAATATAATGATGTTGATATAACGTATATAATAATTATTATTATTTATCAATCCTTTTTGTTGTTACAAAATTATAGAAAAAATATGCAAGAAGAAATATACAGAAGAATGCCGCAAGGACAAAAATCTAAGTGTAACAATTACGAAATTAAAGAGAGAGAGAGAGAGAGAGAGAGAGAGAGAGAGAAAGAGACAAAAGGAGAGTGAGCGAAAACAAAATGCTAAGAATATAATAAAATGTATGTGTGTGCAGAATGAATGCATGGATAAGAAAATAGGCAGACGGTAAAATGAAGGAAAGTTGTAAATAAATAAATAGGGAAAAATAAGGAGAAGGAATAAGTAAAGATAATGTAAATAAATAAATGAATAATAATACAAAGAAATATATAATAAAAAATAAATAAATAAGCAAAAACAAAGAGAGGAGGTAAGTAAAGAATGAGATGAAAAGTTAAATAGGTCATGACTGAAAAGGAAACGTCAAATTTGTTGCGACCACTTGTTGTCGTGAAAAATTGTCAAATTGTTGTCAATTGGTTATCAATAATGGATATAAAGGGACGATATTCAGAGCGAGGGACAATCCACCTACTGAACGTTAATCATGACAGATTGCCAAGATTTCGCGGCGGTCCATCGTGGATACGGCATGTTGACGGTGCATCGCCTGTTCTCGCCCATCTTTCGCTACGTCATCGCTTCCTCAACGGTGAACGCGCACGTCGGATTTCCTCCGCATCTCACGCGAACTTTTACCAAGCGGCGCCGAGGTAATCGCGTCACGACCGTCGTGTCTCGAATTTACTAATTAATACTTCGCGACGCGCATTCTTGCCGAGCGCTTCGGTGCTCGTGCGAGACAAGGGCGACGAACAATGCAACGAGTCGCGAAACAATGCGGCCTATCGCGACGTGCGTTTCGACGAGCACTGACAGTTAGACAGAGAGAGGGCCCTTATAACTTATGCGCTTATTGTTTCTATCCCCGCGTCTAATCTTTGCTTGTAAAGGCCGGAGAAATAACAGCCACCGGCGACGCGCGCGCTTGTCGCAGCGATTCGCATCTGTGTGCGGCGGCGATTTGACACACCTGACACGAGCCGTATTCATTGTCGCTCATAACAAAAGGGTACTCAACTCGCGTTCGCAACCGCAACTCACGTATCCACTGGCTCTCTCCTGTCCAGAAATGCGACACGCATTCAGAGCGGGCGCGTTTATTTGCCGCTTATCGCACGGAACTCGAGGGGAGGAAAGCTCTTCTCGTTGGAAAAGGGGAGAAAGAATTAAAAAATATCGCGAATAACGGCGAATATCCGTATCGATTATATCGATGCTCAGTCCAGTCCGGATTTTCCACGAGACTCTTCTAATGGCAGACGTTACAAATGCGATTGCCATCTGCGATCGACACCTTCTTCTCGAGGGGAGAAAAAAAAAAGATAAATAAATGGAGGTTGCGTGAGATGACGAGAGTGCGCGAGGGAAAGTCACGCGGCGGAAAGACGGGAGCTCTCCGTCCTCGATAAAGCAGCCGCAGGCGAACGATGATAACCTCTTCGTGGGGCATCACCTGACACAGCTCTCAGAATTAGACGTACGTGTGTAGCGCGAGTTTTTCTGCTGTTTGCTCAACGTCTAACGAGCTGTTATGCATACATATACGCACGCTCGCAAGCAAGTATGTGTACATCCATCACACCTTTCGCCCCCATCCATCAAGAATGCTACGGTGCAGTTTGCGAAGGGGCCGATAAGCCCCTCGATGTCGTTGCAAATGAGACCGGTAATCCCGATACGCGAGATCTCTCGGTAAACAGCCGGTATCCTTGTGAATCTGGAATCGAATATGGAAATGTACTGCGCCTCCAACGACGCTCGCGACGTTCGCGGATCTCGTTTGCGCCAGTTCCCTCAAACTCGACTCGAGCGAGCGACTCGCGCGACTCGCGCGACGGACAGCTAATGAGGTAATCGTTGAATTGATGAGTGACGAGGCGCACGATTGCAGCATCAAAAGACGCCGAGCCACGCGAATTTAAATCGCGGTACTTCGATTCGGCGGAATCTCGGCAGGAACGGATCGTCGCTCCTCGGGAACCGCGCGAAGTCGTAATTCCCAGCCGGGGTGCGAGTCGCCGATTAACCGAGCGTTTATTCGCCACGCGCTCCTGCGCATATTTAACCACCCGCAAGTTCCAGGAGTTACGGCGACGCGACGAAGCGACACCGTCCCTCGTTCGCTCTCCCTCTGCTTTTCGCGCGAGCAGCGACCAACCCTCGTCCCCGGTGAAATGGGTCACCCGTCGTCGTCGTCCCGTTCTCCGCCGCCGTCGCCGCCGCCGCCGCCGCCGCCGCCGCCGCCGCCGTCGACGCCGCGTCCCGTCTTCGTCTCATCGCGCGGGCATTTTCCAGACGACGCGACGCACGTGTGGCCGCTCGTCTTCCTGACAAGCTGTGCAAACGGAATTTTTCCATTGTCATGCCACACCTGCCATCGCGTCCCCGGCGACGTGTGCGAGCGAGCGCGCACTTTCGCACATGCAAATGCGTACACGCGGCTTGTTCCGCGGCCTACTTTAATATCCTCCCTTTTATTATGCACGAGGCGGGCGAGCGAGCGAGCGAGCGAGCGAGAGACCAGGAGAATGACAGAGCCGATAGATCCTGTTTACCGCGAGACCGCCGCGCCAATGATTACGTGGTTTAACGGTCGTCGGTTGAAAGGCCGGCGAAACGGCGATAACGTCGATTGTCTCGTGCGGCATATTAAAGCGACATGTCGTATCGCCGTGAGGGCGATTTTTATCGCGCGTTAATCACGCGAGCCTGCTGGATGAGGTGGGTAGATGGGATTATTAGACTTACACCGAACTCCCGCAGACCACTTCTTCCTGAAGGACTATTTCGGGCCTCAATTCTCGCTGCGCTCGACGAGGAGTCGCCCTTCTTCGTCTTGCTCTCTCTCTCTCTCTCTCTCTCTCTCTCTCTCTCTCTCTTTCTCTTTCCTTCTCTCTCTCTCTCTCTCTCTCTCTCTCTCTCTCTCTCTCTCTCTCTCTTTCCTTCTGCCTCTCATACACAATGTGAATCTTTCTGATTTACTTTTTATAGAAACGTCAAAAAAGATTTCCACCTGAAAGAATCATTCGTTGTGGCGTAAAATGTAAAATTAGAGCAACTACACTGCAAACCCGAGTGTGTTATTTTGACGCGTATAAGCTGAAGCTTCTTTTACGCGTATCTTCGTCGTCTTAAATCACGTCGTTTAACGCGTTTAAACGCGTCAAGTGATATCGAAATCAGCATCAAATGACGTGATTTCAGACGACAAGGAACGCGTGAAGAAATTCAGCTTCAGCTTATACGTGTCAAAATAACACACTCGGGTTTGCAGCGTATGCGAGGATGAATAAATATGAGTCGAAGGAAAGACGCAGCGGAAGGAAACAAGCTGTTGCTACATTCGACAACCGCTTTATCCCGACGGGCAGCCAAGAGTTCGAATTCTCGTACCTGCGCAGCAAAGAGCTCTGAATGGTATCGTTCGGTATTTTTGCGACAGCATCGAGGGCAGCTTCGGGAATGCAAAGCCGGAGAAACGTCGAGCGTCCGTCGAAGAAGCGTCCCTGAAGCGGCTCCGATGTCGGCCACGTCATAAAAGAACACAACCGACGATGGCGACCGGCGGGGGAGAAGGCAACGTAACGAATTCTCTCACGTACGAATCGAGATTGTATTGTGTACTCACAAGTAGAAGTAACATACATCGTTTCACAATTCCTGTCGGTTATCATTATCATATTCCTGTGCACGCGCGGATCCTTAAGAGTTACTGCTACGCAAACGAAGGCCATGGGGATGCGCGCTTTGCGGCACTTTCGCATCGATCGCATCCCATTATGCTTCCCATACGATAATCGCGTCGTGTCATCATAGACCGTTTATCGGCGTTTATCGAGCGCGTGCATCCGCGCTCTCGCGGGCGGGGGGTGAGAGCGTGGTAAACGTACGAGTACTTCTCACTCTCTTTTTTCGCTTCCCTTCCCTTCCCTCCCTTCTTCCGTCTTGGTGACGTGCGTCAAGTGTGTATGTGTGTGTGTAGGTGTACGTTGTACTTGAAGATATCCGCGTGAAATCGCCACAATTGCTCACCCCGATGACGAATGTCGCGTGCGGACAAAGGTCGAATCTAGACCCTTCTCGGGTCGCCCAGAGGCAACCCTTCTACAACTGCTCGTTCGCCGGAAGCGTCGCCTCCGGCGTTATTGGCTATGAAAAACAGGTACGCGGGTGTGAAGAAACATATCGCCGACGCTCGGATCCCCTGCCGCGAGAGGCCGCGAAGAAGCGACGCGACGTCGACGTCTTAGGCTAGACGTTTGATCAGGCAATAGCGCAGCGCAAACTTCAAACTGGAGATCATCATCAGTCGTTGCTTATCACACTTGCTTAATCTCCTACTCTCGCACTGCTTTGCTCGAAATCGCGACGAGCGGCGAAACCCGCCCTCCTCCTTGACGAGACACGCTAGATCTCAATTTACATCGCTTTATCGCTGGCTTCTCTGCGCTCGAGCATTCCTCCTCCTCGGCGGGGAGTGGAGCGATTTGTTTGCTGCAATTTATTCGTCGAGTGTGAGAAGTCGAGCGGATTATTCACGATACACCACCTGGACCTAATTGTCCGATGGACCGTGCGCGATCGGGAATGACTCGGCGGGGATTTCTCAAGAGTTCGACGCGACATATAACATGTCGCGTCAGAAAATCACTGCCGTACAAACCTGCGTATTTATCGGCGAGAAATGTCCACGTTCAGCAGAGAAAGCTGCTTTGCAACTATTATAAAACTCGTGAATCTGATTGGTGCATGCTCTTGGACTCAGCTAAATTTAAGAGCATACGCCAATTAGATTCACGAATTTTACAACAAAGTTGTAAAGCAGCTGTTTCTGCTCAACGCAAGCAATGAGAAGAAATGATGAGACGTGGGAAACAAAATACCATCGTGCGCGTTCAAGACTCAAGGTAGCACGCATTTTTCTTTGGCGTCGCCAAAGTCGAGCGACTCGTCGACTTTGGCGACGCTAGGTATCGCCAGCTGAAAAGCCGCTATTTAGCGCTTTTTAACTGTCCGCGAAACTAGATGATAGCGTTAACAAAGTAGCGGCAGCGTTGTATGCACATAATTACGCGCTATCAACGCCATCCCTCCCGAGTTAGCGTGCACTGGTTAACGCTCGCGAGCTACGTGAGCGCTCAAAACACTGCGAGTCAAAGTATGTCACTGCATTTGAATGGCAGCTACATCGTACTCGTTATTTTGCTATTTACGTACGTAATGAACAGTTCCGTGGGAGCAAAGCCTCGAGATGTTGCAACTGGGGAGGAGTTTGAATTGCGGCCCTCATCATGTTTTAGAACACAATTAGGGAAGTTCTGGTCGTTAAACAATACAATGGTGTGACGCGATAATGCCAACGCTACGCTATTGCTGCTCGTGGAGTTCGCTATTATTATCGCGTTATCGCGCTCAATTTTGGTAACGTTCGCGTTGACAAAAAAGCATGAGTGGTATCTCTCCAAGCACAGCCACGATCGCTCGGCCACGTCACGGTTGTCTGAACTCTGAAGGTCGTTTGAAAAAGTTTCGGCGCCTTCAGGGCGATTTTCTCACTCGGGAGATATCTCGGCGACAGCGAGCAACCCGCTCGCTCCGCTCGGCGACGACGTAGGCGTCGTTCCCGACGCATCGATCGTGGGACGAAGGGATGACGAAGGGTAACCGCACGGTCACAACGCTCACTTTTTCAAAGAATCGAGACGATTCAGACTGCAAAAGGTATAAGGGTAAACGTCCTCGTATTAAAATATATAAGCGCGGCGCGTTGTGCCGAAGTGTCGGTTACATTCGATCTCGAAAAACGTGTCATTCCTCGTGGATGTTAAACACGCTCTCCCGCGACCGGGTTTGCTACGACGCGTTTACCGTAACGCGTCGGACGTCATTTGCGAATCAACCTCGGCTTCGGATACCCGACGCGAGGAGGACGAGTCTGGGTGACGTTTGCCACCTAAACTGCGGAACACGGAGATCGCGACGCATTGCGATGTATACGTGGACTTGATCGCTAAACGCGCTGTCTTATCCGTTAACTTAATTATCTAGTCGCGCTCGCGAAGATCCAGGACGACGCCGAGGCCGACCAGAGCGACGAGTTCGCGGTCGTGAACGCGTCGCTCACGAGTCCCTCTCTCTCTCTCTCTCTCCCACTCTCTTTCTCTCTATGTACACGTCAGTAGTGTTACGCGAGTAACACTCGCTCTCAATTTCATCTCTGTGCAAAGATCTAATCGCATCTCGGCCGCCGGAAACGGCAAGTTGGCGCGTCGCCATGTCGCATTAACGTTCTCATGAGGAGGGACGTTGTTCCGAGGCGGTAACGAATATTCGAGGCAATTGCGCGGCGCTAATAGAATTATTACGGCGCAACGCTGCAGCTCGTAATTTAATGTAACAGGTGATCGCGCGGCGAACACCGTGGCGGAACGCAGGATGGGAGGAGATGAATTAATTTCTCCGAGAATTCATTTCGCTCGAGATGCGCGTCGCGAGATGTTGCTATTGTAGTTGTCGTTGTCGCCGTCGTCGTATAGCGCACGTCGCGAAACCGCGTGTCGAAAAGGGGAAGAGATCGCCCCGTCCGTCCTCGAATACCGTTGTTGGCCGCTCACGAGGAGGTTCTCCGCTATCAATTAAGTCTCTACCAGCGGAATTCGTCAAGGAAGAGGCGCGAGCATCCGTCGGAAGCATCCGCTCGCACACAGGGTGTCCGGCAGCCGGACACGTCGGAATGCGTTTTGGGGATAATTCCCGAGAGCCGATTTAGCACCTCACACACACACGAGGCCGTCGGGTCGTTGAAAGATTATCGAACAAGAGCCACCGGCAGCGGCGGGACACCCCGGGTACGTCGGAGAGTTGCGTCTTCAAAGTGCGCACGGACCTCCGGGCGGGACACGGTAGAGTTCTACGATATTACCATGTACTTTAATTAATACTCGCAATATCACGAATACATTGTATTAATAATACCGATATCAATGCTGTTCTTCGTTATTAAGAGCGTACAATTAATTCTCTCTCGCTACGCTAACCGTAGTAGGGCGGAACTTGCGGAGTCGGTTACAACAGCACAGAGTCCAAGCTGACTCGACGAGAGCTTCTTGATGGCACGTTTTCCGTTCCTGCGGATCCTTCGCTACGCAACACTCGTCGATCGAGACGATCGATAAACGCATAATGTAAAACAATTGATGCCGCGTGCAACAATCACGAGGCGCTCGCGCATGATTATGTCCGAAAGGACGGCGGCGATTCGCGTAAAACGTCCCGATAATAACGTCCCGTAATTATCGGGACATTAATTATCGAGCGTGTTCCACGCGAAGAAGAGTAAATAAAATGCGACGAAAGTATATTGAAAATACAGCCGGTACGCACCAATATCGATGGTTATTCGATCTCACGCGGAATCTGAAACCTCTGGAATATTCATGACATGTGCTTTTGTTTAAATAAAAAAAAAAAAAAAAGAAAAAGAAAAAAAGAGACAAATATCTATAAAAAATTCTCTCTCTTTTTCATCGATGCAAAAAAGCCTCTTTCGTAATAACTATATATTACACGTTAAAAATACGATACGTATAATACAAAACGCACATCTAAAAAACACTGAGAAACCTCATTTCACTTAGTCGTCGTAATTCAATAAGAAAGAAAAGAAGAGAAGGAAATCGCCGCGACATAATAAAGAGCTAAACTTAGATTTATCTATTTGCGCGAGCGCAAACTTACCGGGTCGAGCCGCGTCTCAACGGTAACGCGAGAAGTTAGAACGTTATCCGTTCTAACGTTCCGCGTGAGCTAGCAGACTTTTCATCAAGCGGGAAACTAATCTCGCTCGGTAATATCTCGCTCGTATCGATCTTACCTAAGCAAAAGCGGCTGCTTCTCTCTCTTCTCTCGAGCGCGCGCGCGCGCGCGCGTGTGTGTGTGTGTGTGTGTGTGTGTGTGTGTGTGTGTGTGTGTGTGTGTGTGTGTGTGTGATACTGAAGGCAAGGTTTATTACAAGAATGATGAATGAATCCGCAATTTACAACGTCTTCTTCGGGTACGAGATCGCGTCTGAGACGAGATCTCCGACGTACGAATCCACGCCCGAGGTGAACCTTATAAATTACAGACTCGTCACGCTCCTACGATCGAGTCCCCAGCCGTACTCTTCGATCATGCGACCCTCTTCGAGTTCTAGCTCTGATCTCTTCGTCAAATTCTAGCGTTCAATAGCGGTTGACGCGGCGACATGTTCGCCATGTCGTCCGCCTGGTCGTCGAGTCAAGGAACGTTCGAGTCGAGAACTTCGTTCACAGAAACGGCAAATGTTTCCCCCTCGCTGTCGACATCCATGTCGACGATGGGGAAGAGGCCAAGTGTCGCAACAGCGACATTCGCTACGAAGTCTCACGACCATGTCAGCCATGCTGTTTCGATGTCCCCGGTACATCCGGGTCTTGTCCGCTGTTGTTGGACCGATCTGTAACAAACAACTCGAGTGTTTCTTGTTCTCCCGGGACACACATACAGGCGTGTACAGGCGTGGAACGTCCGGAGGTACCGGACGTATACACTCGTCAAAGCAATTCACGGGCATCCCGAGCTCGACGCGTTAATCATGAAACAAGGAGACCAATCGCGAGAAGGAGGAATTTCGAGGCGAAATACAAAGGATCCGAATGTTGCAAAGAACCGAAAGGAAACTCTGCTTCACACACGCGTGAGTCATCGAGAACCGACCAAGGTCAAGGTGGTCAAGGTGGACGGTCGATATCCGATCGCGCAAGAATCAATCGAGAATCTCGACGCGATGAAGAGATAAACGTGAGAGATGCAGGCCGACACGCGCGGATGAAGGAGCAAGAAGCAAATTTCCCGCATCGGATACGCGGCGAGATGATCCGATAGAAGATACTTCGAGTATCTTCGAAATACTGTCGAGAGCCGCCAGCTTCCTCGCTTCGACCGTGAAAATCAAATTAGCACGTCGCGAAAGAGCAGCGGTGAACAACAAGCGCGTTGCAAATTCGGAAAGAATCACATGACGAAAACTCTCTCTCAAGGACCCCCGCCGCGGGAGCGAGACCGAGCGGTGAGCGGCGACGAGCGCCGCGTTACGTGTAACACCTAGATCGAGCACCTGAGTGAGTGGACAACGCGCCAAACCGATCTGGAAGGTCGGACAGACCGGTTTTGGCGTGTCGGCCAAGGATATTCGGTAGCGCGTTCCTCCTGCCGGTCCTTCCGCTTGACAGGAACTCCTTCGAGCCGTCGGTGTTCTCGTACGAGCCGTCGGGGGTGACCGAGCCGCTCGCCACGTTGCTCGCACCCTTGTCGTCGGGCCCGTCGCCGATCTCTTCGGGGCCCACCGGCCCCGCGCGTCTCGGCGTCAGCATCCTCAGCACTGCGAACAGACGACAACCGTTTTGTCCTCGGCTCTCGGCAAGTGTCCCGCCTCGCTTCTCCCCCTCCCCCCCACCCCCTCTTCTCACTCGATCCTCTGACACGCATCGCGAGTCGAGTGTTAATAACCTTCGTCATGTGTCCACTCGAGCTCGCGCGATGACTCGAGATGACGCGTGCAGGTGAACAAAAATGTGGATGTTAGTCGACGAGCGGCGGAAACAGCGCGAGGAGGAGAAGCATACAGAGAGGCCGTAGCGTGTGTATCAAAGACGAACAACGAATTCGGCTGCGCCTCGGGCCGAATTCGGGCATCGAAAAAAAAGTCCGGACGGAATAAGTAGATCACGGCTGCTGAATGGAGCGACAAGAGCACGCGGCACCGGCACGTTCGTGGACACGCGGAAGCAAGAATATCAGGAGCAAAGCGCTTGGGTGCGCTAATTAAAGATGTCGAACGCGTGAGTTGGCAGCGGGATTGCTCAATCGCGCAGTTATCGCTTCCGACGAGCCGCGAGCTGGTTGCACGCTGAAGAGTCCTCAGTCCTCAGCTCCGTACCGAGTGGGATTCTACTTATAATTTCATTATATTCGCCGATCAATAACGCTGGGAAATTCATCTTATTAGACAGGATTGGAACCAGGATTGGAGGGGGGAGGGGGAGAAAAAGAGAGAGAGAGAGAGAGAGAGAGATTACATGCTGCGATGACATCAACAACTTCCTCTGAGGCGTGACACACACCGAATTGCTGCGAAAGGGAATGCTCCCGTGTGCAAATTATAAAACAGCGCCATTCTATAATACATTCACACTAGCGAACCCGCGATGCGAGCACGCATGCCGGGCGCGGTTATCACGCGCTTAATTCAATGTCGCTTTCTGGTCCTGCGTATCTATCCACATCGTAACACGACAGCTTAACCTGTTAATTACATTGTAGCACTTTAATTACATTTCGCGCGTTACGGCACGAGGCACGCGAGATCGATCGCCACGAAAACATCGCCCGTTGCACGCCCGGGTGGACGGTGAAGTCTGCAGCACTCGACGCGTGTCATGAACGGCGCAATCGACAGCTGTATCCCGGACAAATTGAGGAACAGAAGGAGGAAAAAGAGAGAAACGCGAAATGGCATTTTCTTTCTTTTACAACGATGTGCAATTCGGGTTGATATCGAAACACGAGTTTGCTGTTCTCCGACTTCCGTGACTTCCAAATCGCCGAATAAAATTTATCATATGTTTCCCCGCGCCTCCAAAGGAAGGACCACCGATGTTGTTAACCGCGTTTTCGCAAATCCCTTTCTTTCACAAGTCGACGTAAGTTTGCACCGCAACGAAAAGAGAAAGAGCGATGAGTGCTCGATGTCAAGATTCGAAACGATGGGAATTTCATCGAAAACACCGTCGATGATCGATCCGCAACGCGATTCCGTCACTTGCCTAAGTTGCTCCGTCGAGGCCGTCGCGCGAACGAGCGAAGCGCAGGTGAGACGAAAGACTAATCTAATAATAAGGCGTTACCCTCTTCGTGAATCGCCAGGTGTCCGTCGTCGAGAACTTTATCTGCCTCTTCGCGAGGTCCGTATATCGAAACGTGACCCATATCTGACGCGATTCAGCGTCTCGCGATAAGCGGCCGAAATGATTGTGATCGCAGCGTCCGCCACGTGAGACTGCAGAACGGAGGAGGAAGAGTCCGAAACGCTCCTCCCGTCGTCTCTTCGATCACTAATGACAACGCGTGTGTACACAGCTGAGAGAGACCCGGAATGGACACGAGGAATGTGAACTGCCGTCTCTCATATCTTTCGTCTCGCGGGGAATCACAATTCCACCTGGAATGAACGTTACGTCGACGAAAGCAACCGCGGCCGTGCGCGTCTGAGAGACGCTCAATGACACAATCGCGGATTCATCGAGCATAATTAAGTCGCGAGATATCGACATACCATATCCGTGGATTTGGGGAAGACCAAGACCAAGCAAGGGGGAAGGGACGAGAGGGACGCGCCAAGAACGTTCCAGCTACGTTTCTCCAGCGCAAACATAACGCCGCCTGAGCTGTTATTAAGAAGTGTTATTAAGAAAATGTTATGATTCAAATCCGCGCGTGATGATTAATCGTGACAATTAATTTTACAGGCTGATTAACGATATTACGAGTAGTCGTTCGCTCAAACGCAAAGCGCTCGAGTGGAATTAGTTGAAGCTGCAGGTGAGACAGAGATCGGGCGGCAGCGGTGCGAAATAGCCGCGAAGTGGGCATTTCTCTTCGAGCGCGATTTCGCGAGGAACTGTGACATAATTGCTCCGAGAAAAAAAAAAAAAAAAAACATAATAAAATACGTCGCTGGCGAATTGGCCGTGACTACTTGCTGCAATCGTAGCGACGTGTGATGCGACTGGCGATTGACGAACGGCGCATGACATAACAGGGATTTCGCGCGGCACATACGCAGATAGCGTTCGCATGAAAATCGATAACTCATCGTCGGAGGAGACTTTCTCGTTTTACCGCGCGAGTCTCGCCTTATCTCTCGCGCGTTCGTGGCTCTATTTGAATATCAGATAACTATAAATACACACATGCACGTGTTTACACACACACACACACACGCACACACACACACACATACAAACACAAAAACAATGTTATCGGGAAAGTATTTAACTGTGACGCGTAATTTACAGAGCAAAGCGGAACTCAAACAACATGAGAGTCGGGTATTTTCAACTACAATTACCAGATTATTACAGATGTGCTATGTGTTCGAGGAAGAAACAAGTGGAAAAACGAGCTAAAAACTTCTTCCGAGTAGTCGGAGTGCACAAGCCGTTACAATAAGTTAACTTTGATATTTTGCGCAACTCGCTTGTATCAAGACTTTTTATTATGTCTTGGTTGCCAGGATTTTTCAATCTACGCTACAATGATTTATTATTTATTGATTGCTCAAAATACACGGGAGATGATCCTATCAAAGCGGCGCATTTATCACAGTGGTGGATTTGTGTCAACGTCTAGTAAGTTTTAACACGTGCCTCGCACATGTTAAAAAATACTAGTAGTGACCTAGTATCGAATATCGAATATTAAGTATCGAATGTTAAGGCTATTATGTCGATTTATTTTATAGATGGTGATTTAGTGATCAGAATTTTCACGATAAGCTTTCGAGCGAATTGATAAACAACTAATTGATAATCAACGGGAAACATATTGCGTCATTATTTTCAATCTAAGGATATATCTGGCTCGTGGAATGATTCACCGCTATTCACTGGGGAGAATTGCGTCGTCGCGAGGATGACTCGCGAAAGTCACCCTCGGGGGGAGGAAAATCAGTCGAGTCGCGCTGGTTAGTTGCGCGGGCGGTTAGTTAAAGAGAGGCATTAGCAGCGAGAAGAAATGAAGAGAGCACGATGTTGAGCAAAACGATACCTTCCACGCGTACGAGTCGCTTCCTGCGAGATCCTTTGAGCGAGCCATAGCCGGAAGCGACGAGGCGATCTCCCGTCTGTCTTGTCGAAGAGCCGCCCTCATCGGCCGGCACTTTGCGCAGCTTCACCTGATCGGGGGGCATTTTCGTCGGACTATTACAAGTCGGTCTCGCAATAAGAATAAAAATCCGAACAATCGCTAGGAATTCGCGCGACGGAGAAGCCCCCTTGTCCCCTCCTGGGAAAAGACTAATTGCTTCCCAGAAGGTACAACGGACTGCGGTGACTCATTTGCCGCACGATTTCTATGTGTTTACACGCGAGCGCGATATCGTCGCTGATACATCTCGATCGTATCTCGCGGAGGTAATACACGAAAGAAATACATCAATGATGTCGAAAGGCAAATATTTTTTCAGGACGTATTATCGCGCTCGACTCGAGCAAAGACTAGATTTATGACGTGAGTATTTTATTTGTATTTGAGGAGAAACGAAACTCCGTCTCGTCGATGCCGACAACTGAAAACATTATTCGGGCCGATTATCGCATTGATATGCAAATGATGTGCTTGTGATGTAAATGCTTTACATCAGGCCCGATAGGGAAAAACGTAAACGCGAACGGCAGGAAGAGGGCAGAGTATTTTGGGCTTTGCTTGAATTTTGGACGTTGCTTGAAATATTCGAGTTTCCCAGAATAATGTGCAAAAAGATAGGCATCACGTTGATTCTATCGCGTACATTCGACATTCTGACATTTTTCATGTTTTTTCTTCGACGCCGAATCGGCGTCGAAGATAAAATCATAATTACTTTCACGAGACACCGAAGAGATGATGCATCTCCACGGGCTAAATGTCAAATCGAGGAAAGAGAATCGAGTCTCTAGAAACCGCGATGTTGAAATTCGTCTCTGGAAATCGGCGAATTCTCCAAGTTCACCGTGCCCCGCCCCTTTAATCCACCGAAGGTATGCGCGAAGTACGTTTCCGCGGGCTGTACAACCGTCGTCCAACCTTGGAAAATAATACCCGGCCATAGCGGCGCATGTCGAGCGAATACATATACCGAAGTTGCTTTATATTCATTCATGATTCACGCACCCACACGTAGCGGCCGATGCGCATGATAAAGCTGTTTACATTGTCGGAGCGAGCGAGCACTGTGGAGTCGCCTGGACAAAGGAGGAAAAGAACTGAAGGTGCTGAAGAAACGAAGAACCGATGATGAAAAACGATAAATAGCGTTTTTATCGACGCGAGAGGCAACGGACGATAAGTCCGCGCGATGATAATTCCAGCGATGACCATTCCGAGGCGCGAATCTCCCTGCGGCGCAGCGGCGGTGATGTCTCCGCGAGGCTGCAGATTTCCCGAAAGCGTAAGGTTTCTCTTTCCCGCGAAGACGGCAACGGGAAATTCACGCAGTTACGTAAAAGAAGATTGCCTGGAGAGCCTTGACGCACTGCTGCGTGCCGGGTAAGAGAAGTCCGATACTTCGGAGGAGAGGATTTTCAATCGAACAGCTGACAGCTGTGTGCTATCTCGCTGGAAATTTCATCCGCGAGGATTTCGCTATTTGCACAGGATAGTCTTAACTGCGAACTTCCTCGTGGAAGCGGAGAGATCTATTTGTCAAATCCGTCGCGGAGTTCGTGAGAAGCGTCCTCTCGTCGCGGAAAAGCACGTACGACGAACGGCGAGAAATTGACATTTCGTGCGAAAACGCGCGGACCTATTCACACGCGCGTTAATATGTTAAATGCCGTTGCTGTGCTAACGGAAAGAGAACACGAATATACCAGATGTTTATACATCGCATCAAATGTATCCTAAGAAAAGAGGAAGATGCACACCGCGAGAAAAAACGTCTGACGCAACCGACCACTCGCTTGGGAGTCGCGACGGGTGTTCATTTACGTAATCCAGCTGCGATATTTCCGGTATCTAAAGTTATTACGGCGCAACGAGAAAGACTCGTCCGCTTCGTTGCAGGCTAATTATCCGCGATTGTACGTACATACGTTTTCAATTAAACATTTACATTTATAAGGGACACGAATACAACATCCCTACCCGCTCGCGTGTCAGAACGTCGGAGACGGCCACACGCGTTAATTTGCCTGAAGTTCCTGCAACGAGAAAATCGAGGCGCCGCGCATTTCGACGTGAGCCGAAGGGATCGCGCTGAGAGTCGCGCGGGAGAAAAGGACGTCTTTTCTTTTCTTTCTTTCCACGTCAGCGGAACGTAAACAACGCGAGAACGCGGATACCTTTTTATTTTTACGCAAGAGAAGCAGCTTCGAAATATCTGCAAATATCCCCGAATTTAGAGACGATTTTATGCTCGGGAGAACTTCGGGCAGGGATTTCGTGAGGAACTTACGTCGCCTTACTATGTAAATCCGTCTAAATACAGCGTCGATGACACAAGAGACACCCCAAAAAAAAATCAGTGGCGAAATAAGATGTACGTGCCGTGGGAGCTTATCGGGGCGAAGTGATCTGTTGCTCCGTTGGAATAATAAAAGAAGAAAAAACAAATCGCACGTCGACGTGCCGCGCATCGGCGATGCACGTCGCTTAACCCGTCGATATTACGCGCGTAACCAAATTGAGAGACACTTCCTCGAACGGGGACAACGAAGACATCTTTTAGAGACATTAAAAGGCAGCCGGGACATATCAGTCGCAGCCATATCGGATCGATGACGTCAAAGAGGTGAATCGAACGCGATATTTTTTCTCTCACAGTCGGTTGGGCCGAACAAGGCGTTGCATCCGCAAAATTGAGCACGCGAGTCTCTTCTTCATTCCGCTCGGTTCGAAACGACCGCGATTCAATCGCGGCAGAACGAAGCGCGGCCGGCGTGTGTGGCTTCGTAGACGACCTGACTCGTTTCGTCGCGGTTGAAATATTAAGCGGATGATTCTTCACGGGCAGAAAAACGAAATTGCCGGTGTTTTGAGAGTCTACATCATCGAGCGCGCACGATGACACGCGGAAAAAATGTCCTCATTTGCATTTCGGCGGGTAATTCAACCCGGTGATTCCCTGTGGGTGCCTCGGGCTCCGACGATTTATCGCGACTGTAACGAATCGACGAAGCTCCGGCCAATAATGCGGGAATGTGACAGCGACATCTTATTTTTCTATTAGTTCCGATCGGTCATAGGTCCACGCCGGTCATCTCGGCGTAAAGTAAAAGCCTCGTCCAACCTTAATAATTCACCGACTTTTTCGAAACGGCGCCTACCGTTCGAGCGAACGAGCGAGAGAAGTCGAACAAACACAGTCGTTATTTTTAGCAGGTCAGGTGGGTGCTTCGTGTAATGTATATATCTTCGTCGTAGCGGGTGGGAAGGGGGGTACGGGAGGCGAAGTAATCGTAAAAAAATGCCGCCGCTCAGGGAGCAGAGCGTTCTATCCGG